TCTAATTTTGATGGATATTATTGGAGAGCATAAAATGAGTATGTTCTTGAATATGTGTTATTGGTGGGGTTGTTTGGAGAGGTCTCAAGACCATGCTCTTTTCAAAAAGTATGATTGTATTGATAAATTAATGGTGGAAATCAAATAAAAATTCAAGGCATGATGCGATGACACTTAGGCAAATTTTGTGGGTGGAAAAGTAGTGAAATTTATGAAGGAAATTAATGATTGAATTAGGGATGGAGTTAGTGATTGTTGGAGCAATAAATAATATTGTTGATTGATGAATTGAGACAATTGGATAGTTGAAAAAATTCACTTGGCCCTTGTGATGTGAACCCTCGGCCTTGATGGCCAATGTTGGGCAAAAATGTTGTTGAGTGTGTAATGGCATGGATGGATGATGTGGTGTGTTAGTAGACATGATTGGTGAGGTTGAACAATGAATTAGAACCATGAAAGTTTGAAAACTCCCTGTGCTTCCCTAGGAGTGCTTCCCGAGGAGTGCCTCTCAGCCATATGTAGAAAATTGGATGGAATTGTTGTTTAGATTGTTGTGATGTAATGGTGGTGTGTTGTGGTATGTTAAATTAATTAAGGGTGGGATTAAATGAGCACTTGGAATAATTAAAATGCACGAAAACATCTTGAACCCTTGATGATGCCCTCGACCTTAGGTAAGAAAAAGGAGTGGAATTTTTATTAATGTGTTTTGAGGTAATTATGAAGTGTCATGGTGTTTGGGGACGTGGATGGAGCTATAAGGTTGGTTGATTGGAATTAAAACAATAATGAAAGCATTTTAGGGCTTTATGGCCGAGGCATAGGTCTGGGTTTTGGAAGATGGTTATGTGTCAATTTGCTTGTGCTGACAAGCTTGTTATTGATCATATGTTGTATCATCTTGAAGGTTAAGACCTTTGGAACCTATATTGGAGGATTACGCGTTGGAAGCTTCATCTTGGAAGCCTTTGGCCTTTGATTGCATTGATTGTGGCATTGTGAAAAAGTAAAATAAATTGTGAGATTTCATTGAGCAAGGAAGCAGGGCAAGGAGCAACCTACTGACAAGTGAACTTCTGATCATGGGGTTAATCCCTGTGTGTTCCACCATGCTCCATTGGGAGGAATGATTGGAAATGTGATTGATTATAATGTGTGATATAGTATGTTCATGCATATTTGGAATTGCTTGTGTGCAATGTGATATATATATATATATATATATATATATATATGTATGTGTGTGTGTGTGTGTGTGTGTGTGTGTTCTTTGGCCAGTAGAATTGTGTTGGGAAGGACTTCCACTAGATAGGTCTCCTTGAAGAAGTTCCAGTTGACGTGTGATTTAGAGCTGTTATTCGTTGGGAGCACTCTAGGAATGTCTCTGGAGTTATATGATATGGTCCTTGAATGATATCCCTGTGTGGATATTCTTGGACTGTTGCCCAGTTGGATTGTGATTAATGTTTGTTATATTATGCATGTATTACTGTTTATGCACACTGAGATAACCATTGGGTGGAGTGACCCTCCAAGATCCTTGGTTTACTGAGACTGTCAAATCTCATCCCGTGTTTGGGGGATCACATTTCAGGTACCGTTGATGGAGTTGGAGGATCCCTGGGTGCAAAGCTCACACAGGGTTGTGGTCGTTGAACAAGTTGATTGGTGATGCCAAGTGTTAGCTTTATTGATAAAACATGAATTATATCTATTATTTTGTATAAGAAAGATGATGGGTGGTATTTGTAATTACTTGCATGTTCATTGAAGTTAAGTTTGTAAGTGTAATGTTAATAATGTATATGGTTTCAAAGGGTGTAATTGTATTTATATTCATTTGGGTATTTGGATATGTAATGTTGTGAAAAAATAAGGATGAAATGGCCTAAAATCCTATTGTAATATGGTGTGATGTTTTGTTATGGTTTATGATGTATAATGGGAAGTATCATGATATTGGCATAGGCATGAAATTAATGGTGTAAAAACCTATGTATTGAAATAGGTAACTTGTGACATAAGAAATGAATGAAGATTAACTTGAGGTGCAAGAAATGACTATAATGTGATAATTGTTGATGGATATAAGAACACCAAGGTTTGTTAGGCCTTTGAATGCCATTCTAAGATAATTAGGTACACTCTGGAGAAATGAACATAGGTTGTAAGAACAAAAGGTATGGTGCCAAAATTTATGAAAACATAGAGTTTTACCTTAACTTTGGAGATTGATATCTCCCTCAATTCTTACTCAAATGAGGTGTGTGAGCTACCATTTTGAAGCTTGAGATGTCCCCTACCTTATCCTAAAATTTGGGAAATTACTGAGTTGCAGAAGGACCCAGAATATGGATTTTGGTTCCATTCCCGAGAGGGCAGTTTTGACGTTAACTTGCGATAATCATATCTCCTTCGTTTCTCAACAAATGAGGCGTGTGATATGTCAAATTAGAGTGTCTAACTTTTTGTGTAAAAATATGAGAATAAACTGGGGAAGGGAACATGCTTCTGTTTTTGAATTTATTCGTTGTCCTGTTCCATTGTTGACAATTTTGAACAATTAACTTACGATGAGCATATCTGGAGTTATACAACTCCAATTGAGATTTAGGATATTTGTTGGAAGGCTTAATGACTCTAGTTTAACATACTAAAAAATGGAAATTTATTGACAAGTGAATCGTGCCCAATTTTGATAAAACCATGGCATACTCTGTGTAGAAAAGTGTAAAATTGTGAAATGGGCTTTATTAGTTTATAAGAACCACTTAGCTACATTAAACGAGATTTGTATGATATATGGGCAATGAATTTTATTATTCTACAATTGTTTATCAGTTATGACCACAGTTTGAAGTTTTGCTAAATACAATTGTTTTAAAATATAAACGTTAAAAAGAAAAATTTCTTTCGTATTTTAATCCAACTATTGTAATTGTAACTGCGCTTAATATCATGTGATGATAACATACTAATCATGAACGGACTGTTACAAGGACACCCCTTTTTTTTTTGTAAACACAGGGACACCCTTAAAAGGTACAAAGCTGGGACCTAAAAGAATTTATGACATGTTAAAATCCATAATTATGAAAATTTCCATAGATAAATGTCAAATATGAGGATAAAAAAATTATAGTACATAATAACATTTCTCAATTAAAAATTAAGGGATGTTATAAAAATGATCCTTGGGTTAGGTGAATATTTTATGCTTTGAATATTTGAGAATTAAAAAGTATTTACTTCACTTTAGTACTTGTTTACTTGTTTCGAAATCCCAATGATTGCTTGAATAAGTGTAGGTGGATGTTAACATCAATATTTATTTATACAAGAGCTTTCAAAATCTTTATATATTGCATATACTCAAAATTTGTCAAATTTTGAGTTATAGGATTAAAGTTGCATCTATTACAAAGGTTATAATTGTTTTCTTCGTATCTTCTTTTCTTTTCTATTGTTGCTTTGGTCGAGTTTCGTTTTATATTATTTATGTTATTGCATATTATATTCTTAAAGTTTATATATATGAAGTTTATTATGTATATTTATTTAAATTTTTTATTTTAAATATCACATACACTGTAATATTCTTTAATTTTATTATATTTTAAAAGAATGATTGAAATTCTAAATTTAGAATTCAAATTATATATTATGAAATATTTATAAGATTTTATATGAAAATATCAATAAGATCTTCTAAAAGGATTTATAAAAAGATTTAACGAATTCTATGGGAGAATTGTTCTACTTGAAAAAGATTACAGAATTCATCATATGAGGTGATTTAATTATGTGCATGGTTAAGAATCTAAGTTCTTCATATCAATGAATTTGTTTCTTTTGATAACATAAGAGAAGGGAATGCACAGAGCTATGGTACATTGAAAGATTCATATTACAATTAAATCCATGTTTATGGAATTTCTCATATGAGGTGATTCAATTATGTGCATGGTTAAGAAATTAAGTTCTTTAGATCAATAAATTTGTTTCTTTTGATAAGATGATTGATATATGATGGTAGAAGAAAGAAAAAAAATTGTAATTTAAATCATAATTCAACAATTAGTTAAGCCAAAGATTCTATATTTCGTAACAAGAACAAGTATATTGACAGAAAATGTCTCTACATTAGAGAATTAGTAAATATATATATATTATATATAATTTAAGTGCATAACAATCTTCCTCAAGTTCACATGTTAAAGCCTTAAAGGCAATCAATCATTGAGTGTTATCTTTATTTTTTATTTTGGTTAGAAGAGTTATGTTGTTTAGGATCAGTTAATTCCTTCACTCTAGTAAATTACAAAAAAATGAAATATTGGGTGGGTATAAAAATAATAATAATGATTATCATTAAAATGCACTTAAACTTGAAGGACCATGTATCAATCAAGACCGCATAGCGCAGTGGATTAGCGCGTCTGACTTCGGATCAGAAGGTCGTGGGTTCGACTCCCACTGTGGTCGCTAATTTTTTTGCACATCAATGCTTAAAATTCATATACTCTATTTTTATATATATTAGTTTGCCTTTTTTAAAAAAGAAAAAGAAAAAGAAAACAAAAGAAAGTTGTAAAGAATAAATGTAAAATTTTTAATGTAGATTTGACATTACCCTTTATATGGTGATTATTTCCTGCTGAATATCTAGTTGATCAAAATCAGTAAATGCACTTTTAAACATAAATTGGAACATACATGGGATAGGAAAAAGGTCTCATAACAACAGTCTCTTCATCTTTTATTTTTATTTTTTCTAAATGCAAGTTGTTAGAAACACATTCTAGTATAAAATATCCAAGAATGGATTACAAAGTACGAAAGATTATTGACACAGGGGGCGTGGTATGGAAGATGATTAAAACTTTTGACAGAAAGAGGAAAGAAAAAATATATATATATATACATTCAACACACAATATTCAAATCTTAGTGACACTCTCCATTCCCTTAATGATTGCAAGCTTTCCTCTGCTCCCCCCTAATCAAGTTCAAGACTTCCCATAAAGTTGGGCATAGAACCTCTTAGTCCTGTGAACTATGACCAAACTCAAAGCAGTTGCTAATAAGCAAACTACTGCTAAGATTCCACATGTTAGGGAATAGCATATGTTTCCCTTGCAAAGCAGCAACTCATTATTTTCAGTGACATAAGGCATAGCAAAGTTAACCGAGGCTCTATAAGTTTGCATTCGGTGTTTTGCTTGTTGCTCAGCATAATAGTCGTATATTGTGCTTGCTACAAATCCAGATAAAAATAGAGAACCAGCTGGGCTAGCCATAGTAAGGAAATTGTACAAACTCCCAAAGTTCTTCAAGCCAAATAGTTCTGAAGCTGCAGCTAGTGCAATTGACCAGTGGGCACCATAACCAAAACCCATAGATATTGCCACCACATAAACTTGTCCAACTAAGCCCAAGGCATAGTAGGAGAGTCCCAATGACATCACTGCCTGTATCACTGCCAATGCAACAAGTCTCGGGTACCCAAAATTTCTGTTTAAAAAACCATACCAAAAGGCACACTTGGATTATATTATGTTATATTGTGAAAAACCAACTTTTAAGTTTAACATCTAACAGATTTATATTATATCTAACACATTGTAAAATAACTATTTCAACCCAAAGCTTAAACTGTTAGATGAAGGCATATTAATGGTTTTATATTTCTCAAACACATATCCCAGGCACGATTCCTATAGGCTTGAAGCTTGTATAATATACAGACTCACTTACCTTGTGGTTAACCTTTTTTTCTATTAGAAGAAAGGATTAGAAGAATAGGGATGACTAGATCAAACTCTAGACCTCTTGATCATATAGGTTCTAATGTCATGTTAAGAACCAACTTTGTTGAATGAAAGCATATGAATGAATTTTATTATATCTCTGATACGATCTTAGTCAGCAAACACACACAACTACTACCACATCAGCTAGGAGTTTCCCAAATTATCCCGTAACAGAATGGAGAGCGTGGAGGTGACTTGAAGTTAGTTATATACAGAGGGAAGGCAACATGGTGGGATATCTGGAAAGTATATTGGAATTGGACCCTTGGGAGAGAGTGAAGCCTCTCCAATTGCTTCACAACTATCCTTTATTGTATTTCCTTTACTGTTTCGCATTTTCAATCTTGTAATTATTCATTTTCTTGTATTTGTCTCTGTTTACAGACATAGGATCTGTAATTGTCTCTTGATTTCCATACATAGATGAAAATTCTGGTTTACCAGGCCAAAAAGTCTTGGTTTCTCTATTATTAGTTGATTGTTCCTTATTTTTAGTAGAGGTCTGTACCAATCTCTAACAAGCTTATATTATATCTATCATAGATAACAATGTGGATCATGTGCTCCATGTGGGAGATTCTAAGATGCACTAAAATTCAAAAGCAAAAGGAGCAGAGATTGCACCTTACTATAACCTCTGAGAAATAGCCGCCACCAACACGACCAAGGAAGTTTGATATGCTGATAACTGATACATAAACATTGATGTTGTCATCTCCCAAAGATTGACAAACCTGACCCATGTTGTTTATTATTGTCAAACCTGATCCAGCACCCAAGACTAAAGAGAAGAACATGATCCAAAAATCAGCCTTGACCAGTGCTTGTGTCAAGGTGAAATCCTCTCCTCTATGGGGACCATTTTTTTGCTTGATTTTCTTCACGGCTGAAGTGACTGCATGGAAAAGCTTAGTTTGAAATTGAACCATGTCTCTTGGCCCTTCTGAGAGTGGAAGCACATCTGGCATTGGAGGCTTCTCATTTTCAACATGATTGGCACCAGCACTAGTCTCATCATCTGCATGCATAGATTTAGTTGCTGCTGCCACTGGTGGTTGTTCAAGAAGGGTTTCCTCATCATGACTTTTGGGTTCAGAGAAGAAAACCAACAGAATAGGAACTATAATTGGAAGCAATATGAGAATGATCAAAACAAGTGCTAATAATGTGATGGTGCTTTGTTCCAAATCCAGCATATTCTCTAGCAGCAAAATTCCCATCAAATAAGCAGCCAAGAGAAGGCAAATGCTGTAGATAAACAAGAAGCCTGAACCATCAGAAGCTCTAGATTGTAACTTGTAATTTTCAATGGGTCTTATGATGAACATGAGGGTGAAAGAAACCATTGCAGGTCCAACTGCTACGATGAAAATCAGAGATGCTTGATCAGGGATATTGATCATAGCTATGATTTGAGTCCAAATTGCACCACTTAAGCCAACAAATCCCTTCAATATCCCCACCACTGGCCCTCTACTTTCAGGGAAATTTTGCACACAGGAAACCAGAGAAGCTGTGTTGTAGTATGTAGATCCATTTTGTCCCACGAAGATGAAAATGCATAACTGCAAATCAGTGCCTGATTAACAAATTTTACCACTTTTGAATTGGTGTAAAGAATCAATTCATTTCAAAAGCTTAAATTGATCATATATCTCTCTAACTCACATTCTCACGCAAGAGTCTTTTTAAGCTTGAAGCGTGAATAATATATAAATCAATTTTTTTATTCTACCTTGTGTTGACTTTATTCTACTAAAAAGTGGGGGGCAAGGGATCCGGGGATCAAATTCGTGACCAATAATCACTTTGGCTTTGATACCATGTAAAGAATAAATTCAACAAAAAAACTTAAATTTCTAAGTAACGAACCTTCAATGGTTTTATATTATATCTCTCTGAGAACTGCGCTGAAATTTCTCCATGATAAAATCTAGTTGAAAACAACCATAAACCTTAATTTGATTCCTAAAAAAAAAGTTTTTAATTTAGATTTTATAAATACAATCACTTTCAATATTGTTCCCGCTATTTGTTGTCGTTGTAATACAATCATTTCCTCCTATGCAAAATGAAAAACATATCATGCAACTGTTTCTTTCTTTCTTCTTCTTCTTCATTAATGTTTGAGGTAAAGATAATAATTGAGAAGGTACGGTAAGGAATATTCCCAAGTATAAACTATGCCTTAAACAACAAAATCAAAAACTAGAATATAGAAAAAGATGATAAGAGTTTGGTTTATTAATTTGAATGAACTTACCAGCCACAAAGGTAAAGAAGGAAACCTGTGAGTGACAATGAGCCAAACAAGGCCATAACCAACAAAATTCTGAACAACACCAACAAGTATAACAAGCCAAGTGGGAGATATTTCACTGATTTTCCCAGCAAGAAGGCCAACGTTATCACCCAAATCCTTAGCCACACTCAAGAAAGCCACCTGCTTCTGGTTGTAACCCATGCTACTCTTTATCACAGGTGATATGCTTCCAAACATATAAGCTGTTCCCACAAATGACATATCCCACATTGCACACACAAACACCATCCATCTGTGGCTCAACAACGCCTTCAATTTCTCTTGAAATGAAACCATTTCGACCTTGTAAAACCAATGTTCAGTGCTGTTGAGCTTCTCTGCACCTATTTCTCTGCCTAAAGGATTATTATATAAATTTTGTGTGTACCCTGCTAGTGGGAGAAATGAAAGAGTCAATGAGATATTTGAATGATGATGATTTTAAAAGTAAAACTTCAACACATGAGATGGTGATATTAAAAAAGGGTTTTATTATTCTCCTTCAACATAAGATAAGTATCTTATGTTGTAGAGATAAAATGAGTGGGTCCCACCATTATAAGAAAAAAGAAAAAAAAGAAAAAAGTGAGGTGCGAAAATCGAAGTGAGAGAGTAGGAGAGAAGTAATCTTATGTAAAAGGAGAGTAACATTTCCCATTAAAAAAGGGGGTCGTTGTTCTCATATTATAGTAGAAAGTATATCTTATGTTAAGATATAAAATAATGGAGCCTATCATTAAAAAAAAAAGGCCGTACAATTATCATCTATCGAAATTCTATAACATAAAATAATACTATCTTATAACATGATACTAATATTTCCTATTAAAAAAAGACAGAGAATTATAGGGTTATTTATAAAGTTACATTTGTTTGTCTCGTATGAACCTGTAGAGGTTTGTTTATAAAATCAAACGTATTCCTTCTTGTCAGTATCCCAAACGTTAAGTCTTAGAAAAATGATATTTTGCATTATTTCTTTACATGATTTCTTTACGTGCCTTGTTTAAGTAAAAAAGATAATAAATTAAAGAAAATTAGTTGAAAAGTATGATTTTTTAGTCAAACAAATATGTTTTTTGAATAAGTATTTGTCTCCTGTTAGGTAGAAGATGATTTAAACAAATGGGCTATAGAATATTTAAAATAATTTATTTTAAAATATTAAAAAATAATTATTTTTCTAGCATAATGTATTCTCGACGTGAACTTACAGAAAATAAAGTTACGAGTAAAGATAAAAAAGAGTAGAAGCGGTTCTGTGGCATACTTATTACATTATAATCTTTTTGGGATTCAAAATATCACGCTTACGTGGTCCATTTTCAACCGAATTTCGTACTGACTATTTTAAGAACAATTCCTTTCTTTAAAGATATTTCTTAATCTTATAGATATTATATTTTTTGAAGAATAACTTTGGAAAATATTATAAGTAGTAGACATTTTTAAAAAGGCTTTTAGATTCTTGAGATCGAGAGTTGCTAATGTGTGGTCCATCCCCTTCCAATACTAGGGCAAAAGAGGACCACTTCATAGTTGATAATAATATATATTTTTTTTGAAACAATTAATATAATAGTAAAAAAAAATTATTTTGTTGTAAAATATGTACTTTAATATGTGAATGACCTTTGGCTTTCCCATTATTTTTGATATACTTTGTAATCACTATACATATGGGGAATTTAAGTGTAACTCATGAGTCATGACTCTTTACATACCTTGTAACTAGGGGTGAAAGTAGACCGGGCCGGCTTACATGACCTACGGCCTAGCCTATATCAGGTCGGGTTTGGCCTGTTATATATAATTAAATAAAACAGGTTCGAGCTTTTAAAGAAGCCTATTTAGAAAGTATGTGATAGACTTTTTTTTACATGTGAGACCTATATCATATTATTTATTTTAAATAAAATAAAATAATATTATTCATAGTAATACCAAATGGTGGTATGTGAGCTAAGTAGGTGATGGAAGGACCTAGATTCGATCCCTCGTCAATATTATCCTTGGGAGTGATATAAGATCTATACCAATCTCTACAGTACCATCAGAATCAACATTTAGTGCTAGAGGAAAAGTTATTAATGCCTATCGTTCTAGCTTGGCTGAAGATACCATCCAAGCTTTAATATACGGTGGAGATTGGCTACGTAATAAGTATGACTTTAAGAAAAAACAAAAGGTATAAAAAAAGTTTTTTGTTTTTAATCTTAAAAGGCTAATGGGACAGGCCAGGTCATTTATTTTTTTATAAATAGAACAGACCAGACTAACAGTTAGACTCGTACTATGCTATTGGGTCAGGCCAAATTGAAATTTTTTGACATAGGCTTGAGCTTTTCAGGATAAAACACGGTTCAACTCAGCCTACTTTCACCCCTACTTGTAACCACCACACTATTGATGAGTTAAAATATAATTACTTTCTATTGGTGTATAGAGTCTTATATAAGGACATGACTCGTATAGAAATTGAGTTGATGAATGAGAATTAGTATTCTATCATATTTCTGTGTCTCTTCTTTTTCAATTTCTTTTATCTTTTTACCAAAGTTTTATAACATATTTAAAATTATAAATTTTAACAAAATCATAACTTCAAGTAACAAATGTTTCAAAAGCAGGTAACATGTAATGATTTAAGCTAATATAATACATTTAATTATATTAAAGACATATTGAAGTGTAATGAATTAGTATTATACCCTATTTATGTGGTGTTGAAAAATACTTTGTTGATAAAGACGAAATTCACTTCGATGATCTCTACATCTCGAAATGATTAATCTTCAGCTGTTGGCTGAAAAATACTTTGAGAAAACTCAAAAAGAAAAAAAAGAAAAAAAAGAAATGTGGTGTTGAAACGTGAAAAATAACAAATAAAAACTCACCCAATACTTATTCATGTGTGGTAAAGGACAAAAGAAAAGTGATGCCAAGGCGAGCCCAACTAAAAAAAGTTTCACTTAACTAATTAGGCTACTAGAATGAAGGCCCACCCCATCCATTAGAATTAAAATAGCTGCAATCCCCCTACCACCACCACCATATATATTTGTAATCATGTGTGTTTAAATTTTTTAATGTGCATTAATCTGTATTAGACAGGCTATGTAATTTAAATTTTACACTTTGATGATTTAGTTTGAACTACGTAATTTCATATAAATACTCAATATCATTATATTACAGGTGATTGTCAGATCGTCTTTAAATTCACATGTCATAAAAACGGAAAACTTGAAATTTTGGAAGGGGCAAAGAGAGAGAACAAAATAAGAGTATAGTTTGTCTTGCCACTTAATTAGGTCTGCTAATTTAATAATTAGGCGCCATTCGAAGTTATAAAATAAAATTATATATCTTACCCGACTTGAATTGAACTAGTCGAATAATCAATAAATTGATGGATAATATTAAAAAAAAAAAAAACCTTGTCAAAAAGAGGAAATAAGGAGTGAAGTTTTTGGGGTAAAAACATTTTTTCCCATGTAACATATAACTGCTACTTGAAAATTGCATGACAAAAAGATTAAAAAATAAATAAAATAAAACAAAATCCATGACTCTTCTAAGTTACAACTACTATTAATATTTTCCAAACATGGAGGCATCGTAACAGCTATACTCTCAACCTCAGGTAAACTTGGTCAATTTCATAACTTTGGTACATTTCCCTGCTGCTCCAAGGTAAATTACCCCACGATTAGGCAAAGTGAAATGCAGCAAAAGCTAACACAAACAGTTTTATAAACTAACAGATAGAATAATTGATAACGATGTTTCTGCCATGATGAGTCTGAGATTCTAAGCATTATACTAATAAGCTGCAAAAGCCACGAAATTTCACATTATAAGGCAAAATATAACGATAAAGGTCCTTAGCTACACTCCAATCAAAGAACTACACCAACAAAAAAGCACGAAACAACACTACTCCATGGAATCAAAACTTGGAGCATACCAACCCAACTGGTCATTAATTTGCTTGAGTCTTCCTTCTTGACCCTTTGAATCTCCTAATGCAGTAGTGAAAGGGTACACGTAAGTTACTTTCGTTGCCATACACCTGTAAGCAACCACATCACCTTTCACCAGAAACTCAAGTACGTCTCTTCCAAATCCTCCATCAACTTCAGCTTGTAGATATTGGCCTGCACATTGATTTTAGTACATGTGAAGTTATGCCTTATGGCTTGTAAAATATTACTTTTGTTAACCTCTTCAAAAACGCCTCTGCGCCTGACTTAGATACAATCGTTTAAAATCTAAAATGTAATAACTATATGTACGAACCAATTCAACCCAAAAACTTAAGCGGTTATGTAAAACTTTTGAATTGAATTGATTCTTTACATGGCATCAGAGTCGACATGACTAAACGATTAAGAGTTCAATCCTTACCGCCCCATTCTATTAATAAAAATAATTAAATATTGTGGAGTTTGATATAAAGAACTAATTGAACTCAAAAGTTTAACCTATTAAGTGCAGACTTTTTTATTGGCTTATATTATTGTCTAACACTTTTCCTTCCTCACTCAATTACTACATTATGATAAAAATCCAAGACTTATTTTTCTTTTTCTTTTTTTAGATTTTTCTACAGGTTTATTGATTACTCGACTAAACCGGTCGAGCCGAGCAGGACTACAAGGTCAACAAAATTCTCCCAACTAAGTTTTTAACATAGATGGATACTCAAGGCTCGAACCAACCAGAGACTATTAATTAAGTTGGAACAATCTTATACCAATTGATCCATGGTGTTCTTTTTCTTCTATTTTTATATTATGCAATTGGCATCCTTATAAGTTTCTGCTCTGTGGCTAATTTGCTATTATTTCTAACAAATAATAAATTGGGCAAAAACTGAACAGAGAAGGTTGCGGCGTATTACCATCTGGGGTATCTTCTACTAGCTGGAATTTCACATTTTTCTGGGTCTTTAGGATTGCTTCACGTAGTTCCTGAAAAAAAAAATTATAGAAAGGGAGAAAGTTATAAATAGCGAGACAGAACTCAATTGCAAACAGACAAACTAAGAAAGTTATAAACAATCAAAATTGAGATAATGGAAATATAGGATACTTAAAACTTTTGAGTATTGGTTTAGAAACCTGAACAGCATTATCAGACAAATTTGCGGGAATCAGCCAAGGAAACGCAAACGATGATGACTTGGGATTTGTTGATACACAACCCGGGTTGATTGATGGGCAAGGTCTAATTTTTCTGCAAGACAGAAAATTTTGATGATAAACCATAGAATTATCAAGCATGCAATCAATTTCCGTAAGAAACAACACTATGCTTACATATTATAAAGCCATTATGGCCTCTAAATTGAGCAATATTCACTAAGGATTATGAGACAGAGAAAATGTAGTGTAGCAAATTGGATTCTACATTTGAGGCAAAAAGGGCAAGTCAAGAACAATGTATATCAAATCTTCACATACCCATTTTCTAGTCCAACCTGCAAGTTCTTGGATTGAGAAAAAGGAGTGGTGAGAGAGATTGGAGGGTTTTGAGAATTGAAGGAAGGGATTGCATAAGAAGGTAGTGGAGAGGTTAAGGTTACAGCAAGGGCCAAAGAGAGGAGATTAGGTAGGACCCTGCAGTGTCCAAGGTTTGGATTGTTAGTTTTGAGTTTGGAAATGGTGTTTGTGTAAGAACAAGTACGAGGTGGGAGAAGACCAATCAAACTCATGATTTACGGAGTACCCTATCAACTACATTCTCCACCCTCTATGAGGTTTTGCTCCATCATCCTCTTTACTTCCCAAAACACACCATTTTATTCCAGCCACAAGTATGCTGTTAAATGTTGATCCTTTCTCAAAGGATATAATTAGAATTATTATTTTAATATTAAATTTAAAATTGATATTTAATTCATTTATCAAATAATAATTAAGAACGTAAATGGTTCTCGATTATGAAAAGTTTTTCGAAATTCCTAGTTATGAAGCATTGACACTTCAAAAATTCTGACGTGTTGTGTTTGACACTTTTCGACACTCTCCGACACTTCAACACACGTTATAGAAATTCAAAAAAAAGTTCAAAGGTTGCGTTGCGTCGAGTTTTTAGTTCCAACTATTAGATTTGTTAGATTACGATTACCATTTTATTGAGTTTAATATAAATATTTGTGAGATCTTATGTTTCTTTGCAAAAGTGATGAATATTATAAGTTTAATTTCATTTTTTTGTTAATTATTGAACATTAAATATAATATACACTACATAAATTAAAAATATTATTTAATATCAAAACGTGTCATAACGTGTCGAAATCTAACATTTTTTAGAATTAACGTGTCGGAGTGTTGTGTTGTGTCACGTGTCCCGTGTCGGTATAGGTGCTACATAGATGTCTATCAATTTAAAAAGATTAAATTATAATTAATAATTATATTTTGGTAACAAAACGAGAATAATTATATGTAAATATTTGATAAATTGATATTATTATTTTAATATTGAATTAAAAATTATATTAATTGGAAATTGATGCTTTCGAGGGAATTATACTTATAATTTCTTTTTTTAACAACTATTTTTCTTATTTTGGATCAAAATTAAATTTACAAAATAATATCAAATGAGAACCTTTAATTTTGATCTAATAGTAACAAAATAATTATAATGATAAAAAAGGTTAGAAGTATAATCTAATCAATTCTTTAAGTTAAATAATATTTAAAATCATAAATAATTTTCATTTGGGTGCAATATTTGGAATCATTCAAAATTTAAAAGATTTCCAAATAACATCACACACATAAAAATTATTTATATTATTAATTATTATTTAATTTAATTTATTTAATATTAATTTTTAAAAATAATAAAATAATATCTATTTAACGCAATTTATATAAGATTTAATATTTCAGCTTTTATTACAGAAAAAATTTCTATGCCACACTTACATAAAAGTAAATAAATCCGTCTATAAAAAAGAAGAAGTAAATAAGTCCCGTTAATTTTCTCTCTTTTTCTCATTATAGTAAAATTCACTCACTTTTATGTACGTGTGGCAGCCAAAATTTTCTATAGTAAAAATAGAAATATTTTTTCCATTTGTACATAGGAGGAAGACAGAGTTTGAGATCAGAGAAATTTAGAAACGAGAAGACATAAATTTGTTACCTGGTAGAATCTAACGAGAAGCAATACAAATTGAGACTCACCAGGATCAGACATGTGGCGGAACAGTGACCAAAATGCCATTGTTCCCCAACTTTTTTACCTAAATGCCACGCCAACAGTGTTAATTCCCAATATGACATGTGGGCAAGTTCGCTGGGCACTGTAGTGAACTCAGTTTGCTGATGTGTCACGTTCCTGGTGGACACTAAGTTCGCCACTCCTGGTAGCGGACTTGGTTCAATTAATGCACCTGCACGTTCCCACTTGCCAAGTCACGTGGCAGACATGCAACTAAGTTCACTGCTCACTGCAGCGAACTATGTGTAACGGCTAGGATGACACATGGCAGACATGCACTAAGTTCGCTGGGGTGGGCAGCGAACTCGGTGCAACGGCTACTTTTCGCAGCCTATATAATCCCCCCCACACCCCAACTCCTCTCCCTCTCACTCTCTCACTCTATCTTTTTCTCTCCTCTCCCACTCACTCTATCTCTTTCTCATTCTCTTTTTCCTTCTCATTGTGTTTCTCTCTCTACATTCAAGGTTAGTAATTTCTTTTTAGTGTTATTTAATTGATGTTAATTATTATTTATAGGATGAAATTTTAGGTTAGAAGATTAATTGTGACAATAGGATAGAATATGTATGTTAATGTTATTAGGTTTAGTAATTTATATTAATGTATTATTTAATAATATTAAATGTTTGATATTATTTATAGGGTTTAAACTTAGGTTATAAAATTTTTATATTAATGTTGTTAAATTTAGCATTTAATAATTTTTAATTATTCATTAATTAATAATATTAATTGTGTCATATTGTTTAGTTATTGGTTGAAAATGTAGGGTAGGAGAATTGTATATTAATGTTGTTAAAAATTGTATTTAATAAATTGTTCACTATGCATTATTTACTTATAGGTTGAGAAGTAGGTTAGAAAATTTGTATATTAATGTTGTTAAATTTTGTATTTAATAATTTTTTGATTGTGCATTATTTAATAATATTACATTAAATGACATTATTTAGTTATAGGGTTGAAAAATAGGTTAGAAATTTTTTACATTAATGTTGTTAAATTTTGGTATTTAATAATTTTTGATTATGCAATATTTAATAATATTAAATTAAATGACATTATTTAGTTATAGGTTGAAAATATAGTGTAGAAAATTTTTATATTAATGTTTTTAAATTTTGGTATTTAATAATTTTTTATTATGCAATATTTAATAATATTAAATTAAATGACATTATTTAGTTATACGTTGAAAATATAGTGTAGAAAATTTTTATATTAATGTTGTTAAAGTCTCCCATTGTAATAATTTTTTGATTATGCATTACTATACCATATTAATTGTGTCATATTATTTATTTATAGGTAGACAACTTAGGTTAGAAGAATTAGTAATTGTGTCATATTTTTTTTAATAATATTATTTGTGTCATATTATTTATGCATTATTTAATAAGATTATGTATTATTTAATTATATTAATTGTGCTATGTATATTAATGTTGTTATTTATTAGTATTTAATATTTATTTATTTATGGATTATAGAATAATTAAATAATGTTTGATATTGATTTATTTCTTAGTAATTTAATTTTTATATATTATAATGTTGTACTTGTAATATAATTTTTGTTGTAAATAGATCTATGGAGCCGCACGACCCGCACCAGAGTTTCATCGATTTTGGTCCATCTGACCGTTCTCTCCTCATGTGGTAGGAGAAACACATTTTCACTCATGTGTGGAACACATCCGATGACCCATCTGTACGTGATCGTGTGCTTAATGTCAGATACGCTGCTACACACGATCACCTCGATATACCGAACATCCAGCCATTTTTGAGGCAGGTTGGGTTTTATCACGTTACGCGTTGCGCAACCATGAGGTTAGTGTATTATTATTGTATAACATGCAATTATAGTTGAATGTATTATAAATTTTAATAAAATATTATTGTTTTGGAAACAGATTGATCACTCACTTGTATCTGCCCTTGTTGAGAGATGGCGGCCGGACACGCGCACATTTCATATGCCTATGGGTGAGGTTACGATCTATGTAGCACCGATACGACACGCGACACGTGACTCGACACGACACGACACTTCGACACGTCAATCCTAAAAAATTATAGATTTCGACACGTTGGGACACGTTTTAATATTAAATAATATTTTTAATTTATATAGTGTATATTTCATTTAATATTTAATAATTTAACAAAAAAATGAAACTAAATTATTAATACCCATCAACACGTTATAAAGATGGAAGCTTTAATAAAAAAATAAGAACTGGGATGAGATATATATAATATCAGATAGAGAGATCAAATCATATTAGAGAGATCAGAGACAAGGAGATACAACAAGAGCGTGATAGGAATTGACAACAATGATGCTGAGATGATCTCTTATCTACTTAAGGGGAAAAAAAGACAAAAAAATAAAATTGATATGATCAGGTAGAAGCTTTATTAATATATTTTAATTTTTTTTAAAAAAAAATTTAAAAAAAAATTAAAAAAAATTACGAAAAATGCCATTTGACCGTGTCGGACACGGTCAAATTCGCGTGTCGGAATGGTCAATGTATCAGAAAAAGTTGACCGCGTGTCCGACACCGTGTCGGAGCGTGTCGCCGTGTCAGAGGGTGTCGGACACGACTCTCCCTGTTTTTACAAGTGTTCGTGCTTCCTTGGTTACAATCATGTTGGAGGATGTACACCATTTCCTGGGGTTGCCCATGGATGGAGAGGTTATATGTGGCCGCGCTGGAGGCCATCCTTTTAGGCAATTGATTACAGATTTATTAGGAGTTGAGCCCGGGCCGCAGCGAAATTTTCATAAGAACCAATTGTCGCTGACATTTCTTTGCGGGTCATTTCAGCATTACGCGGAGCATGCCGGCACTGAAGCTGGCCGCATGAGATACATGCATGCGTTGATCATGCATATCTTGGGGGGATGTTGTTCGTTGAGACTGGATCCAGCTTCGTGCCGACACAATATTTATTATATCTTGACGATTTCCAGCGGACAGGGACATTTTGTTGGGGTTCCCCCGTACTTGCTACCTTGTACAAGGAGTTGTGCAAGGTCACAGAGCCGAGACGATCTGACATGGGAGGATGTACTCTGTTATTACAATTGTGGGCATGGACGCGTTTCCCCACGATCTCACCTGGGCTCCCCGATGTGACTAATGTCGATGCTATATACGGAGCCAGGTCTCTGTTTGTTTGATTTACATTTTCTTGCAACCTGTATATTGTGTCTATTTTATAACTGCATATTGTGTCTATTTTATAAATTGGTAATATTGTTCGCATAATTGTTTTGCAGATTTAATGTTTATACGTCGAGACGGTTTGTTTACTCCCACATCAGACGTTACCGTCACTGTAAGAACCCACACCGTTAATTTAGAAAATTAATTAAATGAATATGAGAATTAGGAAATAATTCCACAATTGACCCTAATAATTATGAGAAGACTTGAATAATTATGGTAAGTGATTAATAAGGCTGAAAGTCGCTTTTCTGACGAAAAGTGCAGATACCGATTTCGCTCCACGGTATAAGTGCATACCGGTGAAGTACCCTGGA